TACAGATGTTACGCGGCGTCTTCTTTCTTTTTCTGATAATAATACAGACGGAGGATGTTCTCACTCTCCTGCCTGCAGAAACACCGGAGAACATCTTTTAGCCTTTAGATGTGTCAGGCTCCACGTCAGCCAGCAAGTAGAGACAGTATCTCACTTTTCTGGAGCAGACGGGTTCAGAACACTGTGTTTGATCACATGAACGATAACGTTTGAGGTTTCATCATTACAGTGAGATACAGGAAGTGAGGTGGCTGATTCAAGTTGTTTTTGTCACGTTGTGAGAGACCTTCAGTGATAAGAAATTAGTTGAAGAAAACAATCTTGTCTCAATTCAGTTGATTTGAACATCAAAGTAATAATTTCATGTGCAAAGAAATATATACTTTTTACTGTTCAGGTGATAATAAACATTTTGAATCTTGATTCTTCAATAATTAAAAAAAACAGCCACAAGGGAGCACAAGTCAGTGTATCTCATGTGCAGGTCCCAAGCCCGGGTAAATGGTGAGGATTGTGTCACGACGGGCATCTGATGTAAAACACTGTTATCAAACTACTATGCATGTTCATCTAAGCAACATCATACCAGATCGGTCGAGTCCTGTGTTAACGACGATCGCCACCGGTGCTGTTGACAAGAAGGGTGCTGATGGAAATTGTGCTACTGTTAGTGGAAGACCACAAGGAGGGAAACGTGTCAGGAGACAGAGGGAGAAGAAGAAAGTCAAGAATGTAGGACTGAGAGTGGCAACTCTAAATGTGGGACAATGACAGGCAAAGGTAGAGAGCTGGCTGACATGATGCAGAGAAGGAAGGTAGATATTTTATGTGTCCAAGAGACCAAGTGGAAGGGCAGCAAGGCTCGCAGCATTGGAGCAGGGTTCAAACTGTTTTACCATGGTGTGGATAGAAAGGAAAGGAGTAGGGGTGGTCCTGAAGGAGGAGTTGGCAAAGAATGTAGTAGAGGTGAAAAGAGTGTCAGATAGGGTGATGTGCCTGTAGGAAGAAGTGAAGGTCTGATGCTAAATGTTGTCAGTGGTTATGCTCCACAGGTTGGATGTGATGTAGAGGAGAAAGATACATTTTGGAAAGATCTGGATGAAGTGATAGAGATTATTCCCAGAGAGGAGAGAGTGGTGATTGGAGCAGACCTGAATGGACATGTTGGTGAAGGAAACAGAGGGGATGAGGAAGTGATGGGTAGGTTTGGTGTCCAGGAAAGAAACCAGGAAGGGCAGATGGTGGAGGATTTTACCAAGAGAATGGAAATGACTGTAGTCAACACTTGTTTCCAAAAGAGGGAGGAACATAGAGTGAGCTATAAGAGTGGAGGAAGGAGTACGCAGGTCGACTACATTCTGTGTAAAAGAGGAAACATAAGGGAGATTGGAGACTGTAAGGTTGTGGCAGGGGAGAATGTGGCCAGACAGCATCAGAATGTTGTGTGTAGAATGACTGTTGTTGTGAAGAAGAGAAAAAGAGTAAAATCAGCGAAGAAAACCAAACGGTGGAAGCTGAAGAAGGAAGAATGTTGTGAGAAATTCAGAGAGAAGCTGTTAAAAGCTCTGGGTGGTAAGAAAGAGCTTCCAAATTGCTGGGCTACTACAGCAACAGTAATTAGAGAGACAGGTAGGAAGGTACCTGGTGTGTCATCTGGACAGAGAATGGATGATAAGAAAACCTGGTGGTGGAATAGTGAAGTGCAGGACACTATTCAAAGAAAGAGGTTAGTCAAGAAGAAATATGACAGTGAGAAGACTGAAGAGAGGAAACAGGAATATAAGGAGATGCAACGCAGAGCAAAGAGGAAGGTGGCCAAGGCAAAGCAGAAGGTGTATGATGAATTGTATGGGAGGATGGACACTAAAGAGGGTGAGAAGGACTTGTACCAATTGGGGAGACAGGGATCAGGCTGGAAAGGATGTGCAGCAGGTTATTCTTTTTAAAGATAGGAATGGTAATGTTCTAACAAGTGAAGAGAGTGTGACGGGAAGATGGAAGGAGTACTTTGAGGAGCTAATGAATGAAGAGAATGAAAAGAAAGAAGAGTAGAGGTCATAGAAACTATGGACCAGGAAGTGGGAAAGATTAGTGAGGGTGAAGTCTGAAAATCTCTGAAAAGAATAAAGAAGGGGAAGACGGTAGGACCTGATGACATACCATCGAGGTTTGGAAATGTCTTGGAGAGATGGCAGTGAGGTTTTTCCATTCATCAATCCATCCATCCATTACCTTTACCCACTTCGTTCTTTCTGAGTCACGGGCGTCACTAGTGCCCATATCCAGCTGTCACTGTGTGAGAGGTGGGGGACACCCTGAACAAGTCTCCAGTCCATCACAGGGCCAGAGACAAATGAGACAAACAACCATTCACTCTCTCACTCACACCTAGAGACAATTTAGTTGCCACGTAGTCTAACATGCATGTTTTTGGTCTGTGGGAGGAAACTGAAGAACCCACGCATGCACGGAGAGAACATGCAAACTCCACCCAGAACTCAACCAGGATTTGATCTGGCAGCCTTCCATCATATAATGAGAAATAAACAATTGCATAAAGATTTATGAAGTAGTCATTGCTTAAAAGGCTATGAAATTTTTAAGATTGGAGTTGATTTAAGAGAGCAGCAATCCACCGGCCACAAGCTTTTCTGTCAGATTATAATCAAACTTTTTCTACAGACTGAGTTATCCACAATGCGTATGATATTGTTCAAAATCTTTGCTTCAGGATTTTAGTTTTAGGTATTAAAAATGTATTTTTCTACAAAACAACCTGCCAAGTATCATATGTGGCCTTTGCTTCAGCCCAGATATATCTATTTGTAATAAATCCCATATTACACAACCACGCTGGTGTCAGAATTAGTCATCTTTTTTTTGTATACTTACAGTATATTATTCATAACTCAAATTCTTTTGTGTGTTTCATGTGATGCAGTACGATGACTTTGAGGACTCGGAGGGTGTGACCAGTGAAGGTGAAGATCTTTACATTTTAACTCACTATCATTTGAAGTAACGTGCATGTTCCCAAGCCTGATTTATTACTGAAACTGATCAATAAGTAACACTTGTGCGCTGCAAGCTAATCATTCAGTTGACCAGCAGATGGAGGTAGAGTGCAAGGTTCTTCTCACAGTCTTCACTATAGGCAGGCTTTTTAAATCTGTTGTTGTTGTTGTTGTTGTTGTTGTTGTTGTTGTTGTTGTTGTTG